CTTATTTTCTATCGTATGATTTGTAGGCTATCTGAATCACTCCGGACATCTGTTTTCTCGAACGTCATATTTTCATACATGAAACTTTGTCGTGTGCTATCATTTCAACATTGATATTTTTAAATGCTAAAGACTGAATGTAGAGTCTTTCTAAAATACTTAATCTACTTCATGTTTCAGTTCTTGTATTATATATTCTTTCATTTGTTGTGACCGGTCGGCAGGGGATGCTCACTCCTCCATGGCACCTGATCCCACCTCTGATGTTTCGGAGGTCCGTGTTTGCTCTGCACTTGTTTTGTATATTGTTTAATGGACGTTGAGATTGAATACTGTTTGTTATTTCCATATCCTTCTTTAAATGTATATTTATGATAAACATATGGTGCTTCTGTCAAAATTATGAATTTCATGGCTTTAATTGGTTTAAAGAACACAAACCAAATTCAATTGCTTGAAAATTGATACATGTGTCTATAAGGCCCATGGGTCTCTTGTTTTTTTAATACACTGTGACATGTAGTCATTTCTCATATATATGATTGCGCCCATGACAAAAGGGTCCTTATGGCATTCTTCCTAAAACAGAGAAATAACGTCATAAAGATGTGACGTTGCAGACTGACGGTGAACTTCGACGCAGAGTTTTTTAACCACGTGTTTTGACATTTGACGCATCCAGAGTTTTAATCGCTGTTTCCAACATGTGGAATTTATTTTCATTTATAAATTAATTTAATTAATATCTGAATCTCCTAATCCACTGATTTTAATAGATATAAATAAAAACATTTAGAACTGGTTTCTTAACAAACATTATTAAATACGTCTTTATAATACCAATAGTTTTCCTACATGCGTAATTAAATGTATAGAAGCTGTAGACAAGGTGTTTTCTGATAGCATATTGAACCTTTATACTCTAGATAAATTTTATTTACAAATCTATACCATTTTTAGAATACATCTTAGACAGGGTATATCGCAAAAAATATTGCAGAGGAAAATTGTCTTCCTACTTCTTTGAGATCCGCTCCACCGCTGTCAAATGTACATCGCGATTGCGTCGATCACATGTAAACATTGATTCATCGCTGCATACTGCTTAAACTGTTGTTAAATTGTTTGTACAATTGTTGAAACTAAACATACATCTTCCACGATTTTTACAAATCTAGCAAGAATTTGTAAGAACGATAGTCAAGATTATTTGTATTTTCTATAAATAAAAATAGGAAAGATAACTCTGATGTCAACAATCGATGTAACAGGGGTACCAGACAGGGACATTCATTATTTGCGTACTTTTTCACATTTCAGCTGCATGTTCGCATGAATTTTCTCCCGGATTATAAGAGAGATATTTTATGACCAAATAAAAAAAAAACTTTTAATCGTCATCATAATTATGAATTTTTAAATAAAAAAAATATTGTTGTACTTAGGGAATAAGGTTAATGTTGAAGAAGGAAAAACAAAGAAGAAAAAAAAAAAGAAAACTTCAAAATTGAACAGACTTTAATTTTTTTTTTTTTTTTTTTTTTTTGAAATCTCTTATCTATAGCTTTTTTTTTTTTTTTTTTTTTTTTGCATGAAATAATTTAATGACGAATTTCATTTTTTAAAAAATAATAAACATGTAAAGGTCGACCCTACAATCCAGATTAAATAAATTAAAATTTAAAAATGTTGTTTTGTCTTATATTCTTGTTGCCCAAAGAAACTTCAATTTAGAGAAATTAAAACAAGCAAAAAACATCCGAATGAAAAAAAAAGTTCTTAAATTTCTAACTTTAATAGAGCTGGACAAGTAAATCTGATGAGAGAGAGAGAGAGAGAGGATGCAGGGTAGATAAAAATATTTATATTGAATCTATTTATCTAATATTGAGAAATGTGAAACTCTATTGAAAAAGATGAGTTTTCAAAACAAATAAAATAATAAATGAAATAAATATCATTTTTGTTCTCTAAACTGTATACATGTATAGCTATTTATTTTCAAGATCTCAAAGTTTGATATACATGTAACTCTTCGGTACTTACCTGTTGTTGTTTTTTTTTTTTCATACGGAGTTCAAATGTTTTAAGCATAATCTGCAAATTAATTCCTTAAGTCATGCCGAACTCTGTCTTTCATAAAAGCTCGATCAGCATTGAATGTCTCTTAACAGATCAATTATCATGCTAAAAACTCAGTCATCACTGAACTTATAATCTCATTGCTGTTATCAGTGTGGGATAATATATTGTTTAACCTGCTATATCAAATTATGTATAAATATTATTAAATATGCTCAAAAATTATTTATTTGTTTTGGTTGATAAAAAAATCTTTATAAGTTCAGGGTCGGGTTTTATTTCTACATGTACATGTAAATGCTAACAGAAAATAAAATTCAATGTTGAAAATACATGACATAAAACCGCAACAATATGCTTGCATTTGTTTTATTTTGGCTGCAGTGGAGGGGATGGGATGGGGTGTCCTTATATATTTCCGTTACATGTAGGCTTTACAAGGCTTAGCATATCCAAGCTTCTGGCACCAGGCACGTAGCATCATTTTTGAAGGGGGGGGGGGCAGCCAGAGAATTTTTTTTGACTTCCCTGAGAAAGTTGACAAGCAAAAAAAAGGTCAATGTTGCACAAAGTCGAAAATCCTATTTCGTGGGGAAGGGGGGTGGGGGTTAGAGGCCAACTTTTTTCAGTAGCAATTTTTATACTACGTTTTCCGTACATCACTAATAGTGGGGGGGGGGGCAACCAGACTTTCAATTATCAAATCCTATAGTATAAGTAAGGTTGGGGAAAAAGTGAAGGGCCAGGCCCCCCTGCGCCCCCCCCCCCCAGCCCAGTTGCTACGTCCCTGGGTACGGGACCAGAATGGAATTCATACTCTTTAAAACTCACTTTATAGAATAAGATTAGAAAACAACATTAGAATGAAGGGAATTTTTTTTTAATTAGGTCATAAATAATATGATGATTTTCTAAGATGTTTATATCCCTACAAAAATCTGACATTTCAAAGCTCAGCCAGTTCACAAACAATTGTCATGAAATATATTATACAAAACAGTCATATTCAACTGACTGTATATTTAGGCATAAACAATTACATGTTATTAATCTTTAATCCACCCCTACCCCAACAAAAGCTATCCATATAAACCGTTAATGGCATCTTTAATTTAATTCTATGGGTGTGCTTCTAAAACCATCCATTTCATAAAATAAAACCAGATTTTTTTTTAATTTTAGGGTATCATTATATACATGATTAACAATACTGAATTCATAGCAATACTGAATTCATAGCAATTTAGTTCCAGGCTCATAATGTTTATGATCGCTGTGCGATTTTGAAAATGGTAATGCTCAGAATTAAAGGTACAAATATAAAAAGAAGAATAGGCAGCATTATTTCAAACCTAAATAAAAAAGTGAATCTGCAAGTTGTAGGTTTAATGGTACTGGGTGCACTTAAAACTTTTGAAGTAAAAATTTTTTTTTCAATTTATTTTAACTCGTGTTCACACGAATTGTAAGTTTCTGCCACTTAGATTTTTTAACCCCCCCTCTTCACCAACTTACACATAATCCTACAAATGTTAATCCTGGGTTTATCTATTGTGTAAATGATAGCGGATTATAACTCATTCATTTGTTTGTAAAATTTCCACCTTTTGATTGGTTAATATTAAAATATCTTTACTACTAAACTGAAAAATATTTCGTGTATCCTTTATATTTTCACAAAAGCAGTGTCATTATTGACCTTATGCAGACAGACAACCTTATAGATGCCGTGAATCAAGCGAATTTCCTTTTTATTTAATGTCTATTGTGTATCATAATTACATGTTACATGTATCACACTTCACAATTTTTCTGTCTTTATGTAAAATTTAGAAAGAAAGAACAATCAAATAAATTTTCACTTCGCAGTAGCATTTAGGTAGCGTAATGTTGTAATTTAAAAAAAAAATTAAATTTTCACATATATTGTGACTAAAGATATATCGTTTTTGCTGAAATCTTGACCTATCGAGAGCAATGTTCAAATTAAAATAATTTTCAAATGAATTCTACAGGCTTCTCAAATGACTCTTGCATGGATTACCAGTAAATATTTTGTTTGAGAAAATAATGGTTTTAAAAAAAATGAATGGATGTTGCCCGCTGTTCAGGTTTCCCTCTGGTGTCATAGAAAAGTGAAATGTAAAACAAACACTCACTCATAATACTATACACCATTGATGAATCCATAATATATATAAACTATTAAATAATTATTATTAATTAAAAGAGACAATGAGATAAAAATAATGTGCATGGAAATATATCAAATATTATACAACTATCACCATAGTTAAATTACAGAAGAAAATCATTTAACGTTCACTCTGAAAACGTTTGACGTTGTTGAAAAACATGACGTCATTATTAAACTGTTAAAGTATATTTGCTAAAAATGAAGAAAAAACCTACTTAGAGTAGACGTAGGACCATAAAAATTCATATTTGACAACTTCTAACCTTACTCTATCAGAATCCGTGAAAAACTCAAAATGCATAAAAAATTGCCATAAGGACCCTTTTCACATGGGCGCAATCATATTGTAAATATAAATCAGTGTGTAACTTATCTTAAGCTTGTCATTATAACACTATTGCAAGGCTTTAGTAATATGTACAGGATACTTCGAAGCTTCAAATAGACGTTATAGGTTGTACAATTTATCAGAAGAGCAATTCAAGGCCCTTGGCCCTCTTGTTTTAGAACTGTGCTAAATAATATATTCTGGTATATGTAAGTCTTCTTCTGAATATTTGAAATGCATTACTTTTTAATGTCTATTTGAAAAATTAAAGATCATGACCATATGTTGTCATTTTCTTTGATGATGAACAGCAAAGATATGAAATTTTCATGACCTGTGGTTTCTTTTTTGATATGGATAAACCCTTTAAAATATGTTAATTTGTCTTTAAAGATGCTAGAAAAAGAAGGAAAACCAAAGAAAGCAAGTACATATCCTTTCTCCAAAAGAGCTTCTCAGAAGGACGCACTGACAAGTCATATCAAGGCAGAAGTCACCAGAAGTGTAGGACTCATTTATGTTGATGGACAGCCGGAAGGAACGGGGTTCCGTGTGGGAGAAAAGTACATCATGACTTGTCTGCATGTCATCAAAAAGATAATCATGGGTAATCAAGTGGGATAAGATTTTGTTTCTAGTTTTTTCTTTTATTTAAATTTTATATGATATCAATATCTTCTTCATGGACTTCCAACTTCAAAAAGTATCAGAATAAATACAATAAAGTGAGCAAGTATGCTAGATCCGACATACATTTTCCAGATAACAGATGAGGATAAAGTTATGAATGCAAGTCTATAACGAAGAAAAATACAAAGCCTATGTTAACCAAATTGAAGTTAAATAGTTTATGAATCAAGGGTTCAACACTTTCAAACTTGCTAAGAAGCTGGTAACTACAAGTCCTATCAGATCAAATAGTATATCTGTTTTAGTATTGGACGTGTACTTCTAGAATGTTTGTTTCTGAAAGACATTTGTTGAGATAAGCTCTGTAATCTCTGATTACCTTTGTTTTATGTCTACAGAAATATTGGATGGCAGAAGAAAATAATGCTACTTAACATAAATTATTATACATGTAGTCATAAGCAGATGTTACATCACTCATTTTTACGACCCGCCCAAAATATACGATCTTATGCTGATTTGTACTTAGCCGGATGATATACGTAATAATTCTTCTATCTATATGTTAAGATTTCATTATAACGTATCTTAAACAGGTTTGTAAGAGATTTATAAGTATAATCTCATCAAAATGTATAATCCACATTTTTTTGATTACTCACATGAATCAAAATTCAATGAAATAATTAGGATTTTTAATTTGTAATTCGAATTGAAGTTAATAATGAGAACCTTAAATCAATCCTTTAAAAAGGTCCCTTATATATGGAACCCCGATCATTCAACTTGCAATTAGAATTTCTTAAATATTAGTATGGATTCTGTAGAAGATTACGCCAGGTGATTAGCCAGATATGAAAGGGAAGCCATCGACACTCTGTAAGAATGGGTTTAATGTATCAAATTTTTTGTAACAATTTGTATCAAAAGACTAAGGGCCGATTTGAAAATCATCCGTTTTTTTCTGTATTTAGTAATCCAGAACTGAAGAAGGAATTAGATATAACATATGATCAGTAGGTGCTTGTCCCTGCTGACAAAGCATTGTCTTCCTTTGCACAGCTCAGTATTTAAATGGTATTTCAGAATAACTTGGATTTAATTCTGCATGTGGTAATCCAACGTATACTCATAGTTCTCTTTCTACATAAAATATTCTATAGGGGTTGTCTTATCTTTCGTGGCAAGACCTGCGTTACACAGCTCAACATGTGCTCAGGAGGGAAGGGCACCGTTGTTCAAAATTCAATACTCTTAAGTCTTATTTCACAACACTTAATTATCCCGCCCTTTCATCAGTGAACTCTGATAATACACCACTGTCCAAAACATGTACCTCCTATAATTAAACCGCGGTCTATAAGTTACACTTAATTTATTAATACACGAAATCCCTCACGATTTCTTCTCTATTTGTCAAGATCCTTTCAACCTAGACCTAAGGAAGACACACCTAGTCCTAAGGTAGACACTAAAATTCTTAAATACTCATTATCTTATTACTTAGTTCTGAATTTCCTAGATTCCACAATATTCATCTTTTTGGAAAACCACACTTTGATAAAAACTTGTACATCTCTGTACTTCAAATGAGACAAAATACAGTTTTGCAATTTATTATAGGAATTATCTCTCAAATGAACAATCAACAAATTCTAAACTCTGTCTCAGTCTGTTTCTTGTCACCCAATTTACCTGTCTTAAACCAACTTCAATGCAACACCAAAAATTTAATTCCTGACTTTAAAACCTCCTCCCAGACCTCCTGGTTGAAAGTAAAAAAAATTGAAACTAAAAACTTAATCCCATAGACCTAATTAATTTCTAACAAATTTCAAGCACACATAATTCCTGAAAATAATTCCAAGTCTGAATTCGTAGTAAAAGAGCAGCAAGAGTCAGAAATACACTAGCTTCTTTGGCTAAACATGTAAATATCCTATACAATTTCAAGTAATTCCAAAATTTATCAGTAATTTGTCAAAAATTCAAACAAACAGCAAATTTCAACGAAGTCCAATTTGAATTTCACTAATCAAAACTCCCTATAAAATTCCGCAAATATTACAAAATTTTCCAAAATGTCCTAAAAGAACCTTGACTCTTCTTAAAATAGAATTAAAAGACTCTCCATAGCACCTGATCCCGCTTCGGAGGTTCGTGTTTGCTCTGCTCCTATTTTGTATTGTTTTACGGACTTTGATATTGAATACTGCCCATTACCTCTATATCCTTCCTTATTAAATCTAAATTCTAATCGACCACCCATACTAAATCCTTATCCCTAACACAAGACTTATCTAAATAAACCAACCTAGCAAAAAAGCAAAAAGTCTTTGAATCTCTTCTAAACAACATGACTTAAAATTTGGAAAATGTTGAAAATGTTGGAAAATCTTGGAGAATCTCTCGTGACATTTCCCATAAGCGGCAAAGTCTACAGATAAATCTAATAATTCCATGCAGGACAACTTTTCCGAATGAGGGTAATCACCAAATACATTATTGAATTAAAATAAAGAAATCAACATCCCTTAAATTAACAAATAACACAATTAACACCAAAAATCCTAAAATTATCGTAACCTCTATGATCGTACTCGACCTTCATAAGTTCGTAATCAAATCCTACCAGTTTACAACAATAAACTGCCGATAATTAATTGAAAACAAGTAAAGCTACAAGAAAACATGAAACATCAATAAACCTATGGTTAATCTATAACAGAAGACCAATTAAAGTCCCTGACACATGAAGTAAGCTAAAGAATATCAGAGCTTTACTACAGCAATGATCAGCTGATTTCTACGTAACTGAAAACATGTGTACAATCTATTTCATCTATTTCAACTCATAAATCACATAAACTCGCCAACTAACCATTCTCGCCAACAATCAACTATCATCAACTACACGCAAAGCATAAAAAGTACATATTCTGCAATATCAAGTAACTATAATACATATACAAATTCATGTCAACTCTCAATGTCAACAATAATCATGTTCAATAACTCTGTATATCAATATGTAAAATTACTGGAGAGTTACAGTACGTCGAAGTTGACCTAAAAAGATGTTTGAGTTTCAATTTGACAATATTTACTGACACTCAAAAGACACAACAAGCAGTTATCTACACATGTTTGATTTTTTTATCTTATGATTTTCAAAAGTGAATAAAGTAAGGCTAAACGGACTTTTCAGAACATCAGAGATTTGAAAAAAAAATGTTAAATGTTTATCAGTTTACTTCACTAAATAAAATATGACTGTTAAAACATCCCCTCCCAGCCATTCAGGTAAAACGTGCCAAACTGCCCTAAACAACGATTGCAGCTTAATTTCTACAATACAATAGGTTTACATGTATTAATATCGAGATCAGAGCAAAGGAATTATTCTTTGGCATTATTGATTGCCCGTTTTTTCAGATGATTAGGTCGAATTTTCTCTAACTTAGAACAGGGTAGCAACCCTTGGACTTCCGGTACAAGGACTGTTCTTAATACATATGATACGTAAGACCTTGTTGAAGCGTAATGTAGTGAAATATCGCAAAATATCGCATCAGCAACTCTCCATCACCTTTACATTGAAATTTTCCAGCTAGAGCAATGGAAATGCGTACATAAGCCATTTTCAAGTAGCCTTAGCATAGTTACAGTAAATGAACGGAGATTTTATTTTTTGAAATATTGCTGCATTACTTATGATGAACAGTAAAAAACCCTTAAACTCCATAATATTGCCAAATGTTTTGTTAAACATGCAATTTTTGATTTCTGTTAAGCAGACTAAAACTTGACTTCCGGTTATGGTATGGAAATCGTTCAACCGTTGAATTACCGAATCGGATGTTTACCAAATTGAAGATATTCATAATTTTGAGATACATCATTCTTTACTGTACAAAACTATTTCCCCATAGAGTAGGATGTTGCGTTTCTTTTGCGTGTCAGTATATATGTGGTTTTCTGAGACCAGATCCCTAACAATTTATTTGAATCTCCATTGATACTAATTATGGCAAGTTATTTGCAAACATATTTTCGTATTTATATAAAGCATTTGTCCAAAGCCAAATCATGAAACGATAACACTTGCTGTGGCCTTCAACTCTACATTTAGATATATCGACAATACATTCCCATTAACGCTGGTAATTTCCATTCTAATGTCAATACGATGTATCCCGGTGAGTTTGAGATAAAAGATACCACAGAGTCTGACACATCAGTTTCATATTTAAATATTTTACTTAAAAAAGACGTTAACGGTAATCTAACAATTACGCTCTTTGACAAGCGAGATCTTTTCAATCGTCAACTTCCGTTATTTATGTAGCAATATACCTTGATCACCTGCATTCAGAGTTTATATCTCTCATTTGATTCAATACGCAAATCCATGCTCGAGTATGTAAAGTTTCAAAAACAAGGTAAATTACTTGCAAACAAGTTGATGAAACAAGAATATCAGCAATCTCGTTTAAAGTCATCATTTCGTAAGTTTTATGGTTTATAACAATGATCTCGTCAGAAAATACAAAATTATCATTAAGTCAAATGCTGACAGACGTTTTTCATACTTATTATTAGTCCACTATTAACATGATGAATAAAGAACAGATTTATCCGTTATTTCCCGATCATGAGAAGCAGAACACGGCGGATGTGACTGTTTGGCATGCTTACTTCTCCATGGCACATGATCCCACCTGATGTTTCGGACATCCAGTATTGCTCTGCTCCTATTCTCACCTCCATATATTTCATTACTTATACAAACTTCACAATAATTCGAACACTTATTGCTGTTTGTAAAGAACGTATCTTTTGCTTGGTAAATGACATAAGGGGGGTCCCCAGACCCTCATTAGATCCGTGGATATACTATAGATCTTTATTTCAAGTATATCTTAAATTAGATCGTGCATTTTAAAGATTTGTCGCTAGAATCCGATCACAAATTCCATTTTTTATATTACTTACAACATTACTTACAATGTTAAATTTGCATAAGTAATCTGAATGTTTGTATGGGCCAATACGGGGTTATTGATAGGGGGAGGGTGTGGATAACTTTGCTCTTGCAGCTATTTCACAATAGACTGAAATTAAAAATGAATTCATCTAAAATACAGATATTACATGTATTTCTACATTATAACAAAACTATATACATGTAGTTATGTTTTTTAAACAGGTCCCCTAGATTTTATCAGTTGTGAGAGAGTTTACATACAGTTTGGGAGGATGCTCCACCTTCAAAACACTGACCAAAGCAAAATATTCCAATTTGAGCCGAGCGTTGTATACAAGCATGAAGGATTTGATGTTGCTGTGTTGGAATTAAAGAAAGGTGAAATCGACTTCCCCCCACCTTTAACTTTGTTTAGTGCAGATTGCCTTCCCTCTGAAGAGGTTCACCTTATCGGCCATCCAGGTGGTGTTCAAATGAAGGAGGACAGTGACGTATATCTAAATGTTATTGAACCAAACAATGATGTTGACAAATATATCAAGGAGCTTAGTGAGTGGAGTATAGATTATTTTATGAACAATGAAGATTATTACTCTGGATTGCGTGAATTACCGAGGAAAATTCTATTTCACACAACATTTGACAAGGGATCATCAGGGTCCCCTGGCATTTTGATTAGGAATCACAAACCCTGTGTTGTACTCATTGTGGCTGGTGGGGTTCCTTCAGTTTATTATGAAGATGGGATATATGTGGAACCGGAGAAGCGGGTTGAGTTTGGATATGCGTTGAGAGATGTATATGATGAAATGCAGACAAATGAAATAAACAAAAAAATTTCATCAGAAATTTTCAAAGAATGGATCTCTTAGAATGTACACATAGGTGTGTTTAAAGTTAAAATGAAATAATCATCAAATGTGCCATTTTTGCAATTATGTGTAACAATATTTTCTTATTGAAAATAGTTGATTTTCTCTTTTTCCGAAAAGAATCTAAAGCATCCAACGTTTCAACAAAACTCTATTTTACTTCAATCGCTGGAAAGTTTCAAAGAATAATACCTTAAGATTGTTTAATATGGACTATGTATATTTCAATTTTCGTTTATGATGTTGCATTTGACCAGGCTTTAACGTTTGTGACATAAAAATAACAATCATACTTTTACTTGAAATTTGTACTAAAGTCTTGTAATGTGTATTTTAATGTATTCCCAATTTTGCCAAGATTGTTGAAAGACCCTGGTTGTGGACGAATAATTTGGAGTTTGCTAATGACTTAAATCCTTGAATATTCTTTTGATTTGTACATATACCATTATAGTGTAATCATTTTTACCATTATTTCCATGCCTATTCATTTTTTTAAAATATTCATGTAGTTAGAATATCCTCATTTTTAACATTTGGTGCAGTGCTTTAAGATGTTTTATTTGATTTCCTCAATATTAAGATAGGCAAATTAAAAAAAAGATTTGCAAATTTTGCATCTTAATACGATATCAAAACTCATTTCTTTTATATAACTTTAATCAATTTATGATATAATTCAGTAATTTCGTATTATTTTCAGTTTCATTAAAAGTGTCCGTACTCTCTGTTTTGCTATTCAAAGCCCGATTATCGAAAAGTTGACTCGGAATTAAATTCACATCAACTTAACAAAAGTTCAATAATATTTTAAAGCATAATTTTTTTAAATAAAAAATGATATGAGAAAATACTATATAAGGCTCTTAGACGTACGTGTCACAAATCAATGGAGTAAACAGAAATTTTTATCTTTCAAATATTATCATAACCAAAATGCTTAATAATTTTTATTACAGAATAATACATAAAACTACTCTTTTAAAAAAGCAGTGACCAGGAAAGTGGTACATGTAATTAAAGGAATACTCTTAGAAGCTTAGGTCACAAAGTCACCGTGTTATACCTTACAAAATTCTATTGTAATAAAATTATGAAACTTATTATGCTTTCTATCATCAATGTTTACATTCTATGATTATATGTTGAAATAATCTTCTTTTGTAAGAATAAATTTCATTTCTTGTACATATGCATGAAATAAAGTTGTGTAAATTCTATTTTATGCTATTCATTTTATGGTAAGTTACTAGTTAGTCATCTTTGCACAATATCAATATATGAATATTTCCAATAAACAGAGAGGAAAAATCTGTAAGAAACGTAATAAATATTTTCTTCCGGAATGGAATTAAAATGTTCTTTAGAATAAGAACATTAACATATCATAAAATTATTTTAAAATGCAGCAGAAAGCATCTCCTAGAATGAAACATGAACAACAAGACAGGAACATGAATTTACTATAAAATATCCTATAGAAATGAAAAAAAAACATTAACACAGAATGAATTCTGTCCATTCTAAAGCAAGGGAACATAAGTATTCTAGGAAATTGGCTTAAAAATCAAATTCATTTCCAATGAAGTATTTTTTAATAAAGTAAATATAACAGATGAACACTAATATGTGATTTATTCATGCCAACATATTTATAACAAAATGCAAAATCATTTTCAGTACACAGTGCACCGAAGTACTTTCAATCATGGCTAAGAAACTTTGAAAATTTGGCCTACCATGGAACATAATCTTTAGAGAAAGGACAGTTTTATCCAACAATTGATTTTAAAAATAAGTACTGCAGCTTTTTGCAATAAACAAATGGAAATTCGCATTAGATAAATTTTATACTTATATTTTGGGGTGTATTGCAAATATTTCAAAAAATATAAGCACAATAACTATGATTATGTTTAACAGAATGCTTAAAAACGCTTTAATCATTCCATTGATTATCAATCTTTAGCCAGCATTTGATTGGAGCACTACTTGATTGACATTACTTGACCACGCCCTTAGATCCCGGTCCCCTCCTTTGTGTACTACAGATTGTACAACGCTCCTACAGTGACAGAAAATTCAATGACTATAAGAGTAAAGCAAACAAATAGGACAAGAAAAAATACGTCTAATATAACACTCACTATAAAAATGTATTTCAATTAATATACTTTTCTACCCAAGTGTATGAAAGGGTGAGACAAAACTTGGTCCTACTTCTGTTTTGAAATGAAGGAAAAAAATACCATTGAGTTTGTGGGTAAACAATCTTCGTGGAATGCATGTTTACAGTGGAATAAAACAACATTGCTGGCATATCTCAAATCTACGAAACAGTATATTGATAATTACTCATTATTGGATATAAACTTGACCACTTTCCAAAATGGATTCAATGCAAAAAAAATATTAAAAAAGATCATAATTTAAAATTTAAATGAAATTCATTTGATAAAATTAATTTTATATCCCATATTTGACAACTGACATGATTTTAAAGATGTAAAATATATCACATGATTAATAATACAAATAAATTTATGATATCAATTTCATAACTGAAACTTAACATGATTATAAAGATTAGCCAAAAAGTATAACCCACCTGTTACTATGATCCGCTGTTGACAAATAGGACAAGACTGACTACCTGGTAAAAACAAATATCATTCATATACATACCTGAAATAGTAAAAATTTTTATGCCTACAACAAAATATGAACTCCCTTTATATCAACCCTTGCATTTGAATCATTGCTTGGCCACTGCATTGCTAATTATTTCCAATACAACACTTCAAAATACAAATATTAACCCCTCCAAACAACCCAAGCCACTCATTAACCCCATCCCATATTGTCATACATAATAATGTCGACATTTATCCCTCTTCTGTGTATTTAACCTGGCCGTCCAGTAAGTTAAAGCTGTCATACACACTGTCGATAGATGTTCCTCTTCTCTGGGTTTTGACCAGTCTGTCTAGCAAGTTAAAGCTGTCAGTCAATCATTAACCCCACCCCTGTTTATTGTCTAGAAAGTTAAAGCTGTCAGTCACTTATTAACCCAATCCCATCGTATTGTCCAGTAAGTTAAAGCTGTCAGTCACTCCATTTACCCCACCCCCATCATATTGTCATACATACTGTGGACAGCTACGCCTCTTCTCTGTGTTTTGACAAATCTGTTTAGTAAGTTAAAGCTGTCACTCACTCATTAACCCGCCCCCATCATATTGTCATACATACTGTCCACAGCGACCCCTCTTCTCTGTGTTTTGACCAGTCTGTCTAGTAAGTTAAAGCTGTCTGCTACAAGAATTCTTCTACAGCCCTCTCTTAATGATATCTGTCAACAGGAAAACAAGGTAATTAAAATAATTATTTCTAATACTGTTTAACCTACCTGTTTAAGATTTTTACACTTTCAGCATTGGTGGTATTAGATTTTGAATCTAAGTGTTTAGGATGAAATATTATGTCTTTGTTATGTAGCAAGAACTGGCTGAATTTTGTATTCAAGAACTCAATACTACTTTTAAAGGGTCAGGAAAAATGACCAAAAGAAAGAGAGATATCATCCAATATATGTGAATGGGTGGAAGTACGTTTACAAACGAGAAGAAGAGGAGATAGACTGAAAAACAAGACAAGTGGACACCAACTGCATTTCAAAACTCTGAATAGAGGATTCAAAAGCTCCGATAAACCAGTGTGTAAACAAGATTAACACTCACCACTGGTGTAAGAAAAAAATTTTATGTTCTTAAAGTGTTATTTCGTGACTTTGGACTTAGACAATAACAGATTGAGAATCACACTTGATCAGTTCTCCCCAGTAGAATGTTTAAAAAGTCTGTAAATATACACATACACTCAATAAAAACAAGTCATTATTTGTTTTGGCGTGCTTGTCATGGCCATTTAATAATTTATCAAATATAACACAATGTATGCGCCGATCATGATGATAATATGGCAGCATAGTTAAATGAATATAGATAATGAGCAAGAGAAATACAATGTTGATCCAAGGAGTATGGAAAAAACAGTACCCCCCGGAGACAGCATTCTTTGCAAAATTATGCCTAACAAAGTCAATAGCCACACGCAACTGGAATACTGAAGGTCCGAATCGGAAAAGCACATCAACATTGAAGGTCGGCAAAGCACAACAACAAGGTAGTGGATCCTACTCAGGATTCGATCCATGCCATGACGCTGAAACGAGAAATTAAAAGAAAACGAAAAAACAACCGAAAACACAGTTTTAATGAAGATGTGTTAGAAAAATAACGTATATACTAAACTTGAAGAGGTATAAAATTTAAAATTAAGTGGAGGGAGGGTGGGTTTTAAAGAATTTTGCGTCTGCTTCGTTCAAATTAGAGATTAAAAAGGAATATTCTAGAAGACATGCGCAAACAAGAAGTATCAAATATTTTCTGAGCACCGAGCCCGATGATTTATGAATTTCAACGTTAAGAAACTACATGTAAGAGTTATCTATCTTTGCATACAAAAAATTACGCTGCACGAAATAACCAGGTTTATCCATATTGGATAAACCCCATTATTTCGTGACTTTGGACTTAGACAATAACAGATTGAGAATCACACTTGATCAGTTTTCCCCAGTAGAATGTTTAAAAAGTCTGTAAATATACACATACACTCAATAAAAACAAGTCATTATTTATTTTGGCGTGCTTGTCATGGCCATTTAATAATTTATTAAATATAACACAATGTTTGCGCCGATCATGATGATAATATGGCAGCATAGTTAAATGAATATAGATAATGAGCAAGAGAAATACAATCTTGATCCAAGGAGTCTGGAAAAAACAGTACCCCCCGGAGACAGCATTCTTTGCAAAATTATGCCAAATGGGTCAAAGGACAAAGTCAATTGACCCATCCGCCACAAACTAAAATTGGGGCGGCAATTTTGCAGCCCAAGGTAACAAAAGCACAAAATGTGCACAAACTAGGTACAAATTGCACCAAAATATATGTACTATGCCAAATGGGTCTGCCAAATTGATCAAGGGACACAGTCGCATGACCCATCCGTCTCAAACTAAAATTTAGGCGACAATTTTGCAGCCCATGCAAAGTAACATTTAAAGCACAAATCGTGCACAAATTAAAAGCACAAATCGTGCAAGAAGTAGGTACAAATTGCACCAAATAACTAAATTAGTAATTGAAAGGCACAAATTGCGCACTTAAATTGAAATTATGAAATAAATGCAAATTGCATTGAAAATGATAAATATGCAACTCGCACACAATGGGGCTCATGACAAGCATCAGGGAAATGTTGACAATATAAAATTACACCATTGAAATATTCTAATAGATAAATGTTAAAGCAATATTTAAATTGCAACTTTGTGTCACAACATTCAATAATATATGAACAAATGTCAAAGCAATAGATAAATGTTAAAGCAATATTTGAATTGCAACTTTGTGTCACAACATTCAATAATATATGAACAAATATCAAAGCAATAGATAAATGTGTGGTGAATTGCAACTTTGTGTCACAACATTCAATAATATATGAACAAA